CATTTAAAATGTATTCTAATACAAACCCTTTGTCAATTTAAGTATTGCATATATCCATATATCCTTCTTTGTGGCTGTTCTCTTCATTTTTCCCGCAGTATCTTTGGTTATACTAAAGTTTTTCTTTCTTTCTTTTTTTAAATTTCACATTTGATACAGTTAAATCTTGTCTTGGTGGTACTTTTTGTGTTAGTTTAATACATATTTTCTTATCTCAGTGTCAGAAAGTTATTCTCTCAGGATTTATTTTAAAATTGTATGGACTCTCTGTGTACATTTTGATCTTTGGTTCAACTGGAATTTATTTCTTTTTGTAGGTGTAAGGATCTATTTTTATCTTGTTTCCCTTTGTAAAGCCATTTGTCCCAAATCCATGTATTGAATTCTTTTTCTTCTACAGATATATTCTTATATATTGTTTCCATACAACTTCTCTCTATTTTATTCCATCAATTTATGTATTCCTGCACTAGTACCACACAATCTTTTAATAGTTTTACTATTAATCTTTATCTTGGGTATGACTCTCTCACTCTTTCCTTCCTTCTCTACCTCCTCTTCCTTGTCTTCCTTTTTCAAGGCTTTCTTCCTGTTTCTAGCCCCTTAATCATTCACATAAATTTTAGAATTACCTTGTTAGTTTGATGAAATAGTCTGTTGGAATTTTGGTTAGACTTGCCTTAATTCATACATTAACTGGAGTAGAATTGTCATCTTTACAATATTCAGTTCTTCTACTCAGAAGCATGGCATATCTCTGAATTTATTTAATGCTTCCTTTGTGTCCTTCAATTAAGATCTAGAATTTTCTCCATAGGTCTTGAGTGTCTTTTGTTAGACTTCTTTCTAGGTGCTGCTCTTTATTTAATGCTGTTTTAAGTGTTATCTTTTTAGTTATTTTTTATGATTGTTGATGAATTAGAATGTAATTGAATCTACTTAGATTTTCTTACAAGAAAATAATTCATTGGTAAGTGATGGCAAATAGACATAGTTAATTAAGTCAACAGATAAACGGAATTCCAAAAAATGTTCTATTAAGGACCAAATGAAACAAAAAAAAAAACCAAAAAAAAAAAAAAAAAAAAAAAAAAAAAAAAAAAAAAAAAAAAAAAAAAAAAAAAAAAAGGAAAGGATAAACATAGGGGAATATAAAAGAGAAGACAAATGGACCTGAATCCAACTATATAAAAAATTGTGCTAACAGATTTAACATTCTGAGAGAGAGAGAGAAAGGAAGAAGACCCAGCCTGTTGTCAAGAAGAGACACATTTTAATATAAAGATCAGACAGATAGAAATTAAATAGGTGGAAAATAATACACCATGCAAATGGTAAGCATAAGAAGGTTGGTTGAAGAGGTTGTATTAAAATCAGATAAATTTCTAGACAAGGTGCAATCACTGAAATAAAGAGGAACATTTCATAAGAACGTAATAAATAATACGTGTCATAAATTAATAATAGCAAAGGGACATTCGTAAGGAAGATACAATAGACAAAAAATATACATACCTGTTAATGGATCTTCAACATGAATGAAGCAAAATTTGACAAAATTACCTGGTGAAAAGAATCCACAAACATGATTGGAAATTTTAGTACCTCTTTCTCAGCAATTGATAGAACAACTAGACAGAAACTGGGAGAAGACATGGAAAAGCTAAGCATTGGTATCCTATTAACCACCTCTGTTGAACTGATACTTAAAAATCAACATCCCCAAAGGGAGAATACACACTTTTTTCATATTAATTATGATGGACTCTATGCTGCACTGTACATGAAAATTGTTATTGTTCTTGTCTTTTTTCCTCTGTATATAATGTGTCTTTTTTGCTGGCTGCTTTCAAGATTTTCTCTTTGTCACTTGTTTGATTATAATATGCCTTGGTATAGTTGTCTTTACCTTTTATCCTGCATGGGATTCTTAGGCTTCTTGGCTCTGTGGGTTTATAGTTTACATTATATTTGAAAAATTTTCAGCCATTGTTTCCTCAGATATTTTTGCTGTCCCTTTGTATTAATCATCTTGTGCCACATAAATACCCCAAAACTTAGTGTCTTGAAACAGTAAGCATATTGTCTCACGCAGTATTTTGTGGGTCAGAAATCTGGTAGAAGCTGAGCTGGGCACCCCTGGCTCCAAGTCTCACATAATAAGTTTACAATCAAGGTGTTGGGCTGCAGGCATCTAAAAGTAGCAGCTCTTCCCCAGATGGGCCTCTTCAGAGGGCTGCTTGAGTGCTCTCATGACATGGTGGAGGCTTCCCCAAGAATAAATTGGTGCAAGAGAGAATAAGACAGAAGCCACAGTGCCTTTTATAGGCTTGCTTCCCTTCCTAAGAGTTTGCTTTGGTCGAGTTGGTTGATTGTGTTAAGTCATCTGTATTCCTGTTAATTTTCTGTGGAGTTGTTCTGCCAATTAGTGAGAGAGAAGTGTTGACATCTTCACCTTAAAATTGTGGATTTTTAAATTTCTGTCTTAAGTTGTGTCTGCTTTTGTCTAGTGTGTTTTGAAAAGCTCCCATTCATTGTGTACACATTTACAATGGTTACATCTCGGTAAGTGATGTTAGCATGATGAAACATCCCTCTATGTTTTTTCCCATCCTTTTACTTTGACCAATGCGTCTATGTGTATCTAAAGTGGATTTCTTGTATACAGCAGATAGCTGGGTCTTGATCTTTTATTCAGCCTGACAACATCCATGATGCAGAATTTTTGTTTATTGCATTTTAGGTTTTGGGGTACATGTGAAGAACATGCAAGATTGTTGCATAGGTACACACATGGCAGTGTGATTTGCTGCCTTCTTCCCCTTCACCTATATCTGGCATTTCTCCCCATGCTCTCTCTCCCCAACTCCCCACCCCCCACTGTCCCTCCCCCATGCAGAATTTTGACTGTGACGTAAACTTTCCTCTAAGTCAAAATTGCCATAGTATGTTCTGTGTCACATTTTTTCAGGACTTCAGAGGAGGTGTCTGTCTCTCCAGAGGATGTGTTATCATTTCACATCCATCCTCGGTGGTCAGCAGGGATGCTTCCATTTTATGGATGAGGATAGTGAGCTTCCACGAGGGGAGGTGAAGGACATGAGTCCACTCCCACGGCTGCCAGAGGCTGCAGCATGACTTTCTGGCTCCTAACCAGCTCGCCTTTTCCAGCCATAGCTGCAGCTGTGGGGAAGAAGATGATTCTGAACTGACCCTGTGGGTTGAGATGGACACCTCCAGCTTCCCACGAAGAGTTCTTCCTTCTTCGCAAAAGTAAATGAATTGATATAGGCCATGTTGTATTCAAATTAGATTGATCAGGAGTTATTTAAACAACCACATCAGAAGGCTTATTTTCCCTTTTGACATTAAAGTGTCTTTTCCAGAAACTGTAGGAGGTGGGTTTTCCCTGGAATGAATTGACGGCTTGTACCTATTGTTAAAAAAAGAAAAGCCTCATACACCTTTTCCCACATCTGCAGTGGTAGCAGAATGAGCACAATTGAAAGAGGTTTGTGATTATTTTTTTTTAAAGAGAAAACACTCACAGCCTTCTGCTTAGTGCAAGGCTGAAATAGGGCAAAAGGGGAAACTGAGCATGAGCAGGGGATAGAATATCAAAGGCAGTACGTCCTTTCGGCCCCATCTGGACTCTTCTCCCATCCCACAGAAAACCTCCCCAGCCAGTCTGGAGGTGGGTGGACGGCGAGGGTCCGCTTTCATAGGTCACTTGATCTGCTCCCTGCTAGCCCCTCCCGCCCACCCTCTGGCGGCTTAGGTTAGCCCTGGAAACCACCCACATGTTTCATCTGTCCAGAGAAATCAGGAGAGGATGAACACCTTTTTTGGGTTTTCCAGTCAAACACTCAGGGAAAGAACATTGTAATCCTCAAGAAGCGCCTCACCAGCAAAGTGAACCCCTGCGAGACACTGTGGGTGCACCAAGGCAAGCACTGCCCCTGATGGCCCAGCGCTAAGTGGTAGAGATGACACGGTCATGGGAACGCCGAGATTCCGGCATGAGAGACATGTCAGCTCCATGCTGGGACACTGACAGTGGGAACAAGGAAGACTGCTGATCAGAAACAGGGTTCAGAGACAAGGCTCCTACCTTGTGAGTATTGGCTGGGCCTGCCTCTGAACCCGGTTTCTGCTGTAGGAGGCAGGTTTGCTCTGGGATCGTTTGGCAGCTTGTTAAATGATTGCTAATTAACAATTGTTCCTACTGTTAAAAATGAAAAACAAAATATGGTAAATATCTTGCCACCTCTTCGGTGTAGGATGGTGTGAGGTGTCATGAGCCCACTTCTTCCAAGCTACCCTATACGAATGTCCTCATTTTACAGCAGAGGAAACTGAGGCTCAGGGTCTCTTTGGGCACAGTTGCAAAGAAAGGCCTCCTAGAGAAAGGGGTCTGTGTCCAAGGCCGGGGGATGGCGGTGAGGTCTAGAGCATTTCCCATGGGTGGAAACAGTGGCATGCCTCTGGAATTGATGTAACCCATGACCTGCCTGGGGCATAGCAGGTGGTCTGGTGAGAACAGACCGAGTTCTGGGTCCTGAATAAGGATGAGATACACTAGGGGCAGAGCTTGGAATCCCAGCCCAGAGGGGTGGCCTGAGTCCAAGGCTGAGGGAGCATGCACCTACTGGTTGCTGACACAGGTGAGCCTGGCTGTGTTTTTGTGAAGGTCGGCGTTGTCGTAGTTCCCTGGAGCTGGGCAGGATTCAGAGATGTCTTCTTGCATGCTCATTTTACAGATGAAGAAATCAAGGCTTGGGGCAGTAGGGAACTTTCCAGAAGCACAGGGCAAGTTTGTGTCTAAGCAAAGCTGAGCGCTCTGCCCCCTTGTGGTGATCTCCTCAGCCCCATTCTCATCCTTCCAGGGCAATTGTCTTTCCTTGGGAATAAGGTTGAGAGCCTCAGTTTGGTCTAGACGTTTGGCTTTTCCTAGTGGTGGCAGAATTTGTGGGATCAGTGTTCATGTGGTGGGGGCAGGGCAGGGGGCTGAGTTAGGAGTTTAGGGATGGGCAGCTTCTCCCACATCCATAAAATTGGGGCATTTACCAATTCCCACAGCTGGTGTGGATACCCTCCCTGGTGCTTAGCAAAGGCTGCTGGGGGTGTGGGCTGCCCCCTGCCCCACTCACATTCTCTGGAAGACCCAGGAGAAACACCTGCATTGCAAAGAGGTCTCTATGTCTTCAACCACTGGGCTGAGCGCCTCCCCATGGGAATGTCTGGAATTGCAGGTTTTGAAGGCCTAAATTAGGGCCTTGAATGACTGTTCTTCAAAATTTAGGGGCCTCTGGGCATGGCCACAGCCTCACCTGGGTGCCTTTCCTCTGCTCACTCTCTGCCCTCTTTCCAGCAGAACATTCAGACCACTTCCTTGGGTGTCAGGCATGGGCTTGCCTCTAGGACCTCACGTGGGGGCCAGGCTGTAGGAAGGAAGGGAAAACTGAAACAGTCTTTGGGAGCTGAGCCTCTGGGCATTTGTAGGAGGCACCACCGGATTGTCAATGAAGATAAAGACACTGAAGCTACAGGCCTTTCTTTTGTGTGGGTCCGTCCCATAGTTCAGTGTGGGCTTCCCTGCCCCTACACTGAAAGATGCTCCTGGGCTGTGGGTGGGGCTGTGGGCTGTGGCAACCTGGCAGGTGGACCTCATGGATCACTGACTCTCTCTCTTGACTCCAAGGAGGAAGACGAAGCAGTCACAGCTGTGCTTCTTGCTCAGGGCCATGGTGTCCAGGCTTCATGGCCACCTCCTCCTCCCAGGATCAGAGGGGATGAGGGCCTGAGTTGGCCTGGTTGCCCAACTGTGGTCATCAGGAGCATGAATGATATCAAAGAACTGGAGTCTCTTAGACAGATTCCCTGTCCTGACAAGAAATTGTGGAGGACATTTCAGATATGACCTTGCCAATAACAACCCATGCAATTGAAAGAAATTTCCCTAAGACATCAAAAGTAAACAAATTGCTTTTAAACAAACAAACAAAAACAAACAAAAAACATGTGCTGGAGGGCAGACTGACGTGTCTTTCATTCTCTCTGTGATAAATCATATTACAAAATTACTGTCATACAAAGAAGCCATCAAAGAATATGCATCCAAAAAAAGATGTAGGAAAAGGGTATTATTTTTTAAAAAAGAGTATTATCTAGGTGGCCGAGGCAGTTACTTACTCATGGAATCATATGCTATTTTTCTGATTTGATATTTATGGTTTGCTCAGCTTTTTACAAATTTGTCATTTCTTATTCTAAATGATTTTTTTGCACTTTGTGTTATTTTTCTTAAACAGATTCTCCAGATTGCCTAAAGTTTAGGCCCCAAAGTCCAGACCACAGCAGTTCCCATCCTCACCATTTGCTCGGAAATGAGTTGCTTGCTTCTTACTTTCACTCAAGATCTTGGGTGGTGGCCGAGGCTGTGTATTATTGTATTCCCCGTAAAGGGGTCTGCTCGAAAGAGTATTTCCCATCCTCCTAAAAGAAGCAAAACCTGGTGCAAGTATTCAATTCCCTGATCACAGGGTTTGTGGGGATCTTGGGTCCACTCAGAGGCCTCTGGGGAGAGGAAGGGAGGGAAGCAGAAGGGTGGGGGAAGGGCTCTGTGAGATCTGGTTAGACCAGATGGCACAGCAGGTGGGCAGGTGAGAAGGGCTCAGGGATATCTTCCCCTCCCACTTCCCTGGGGATCTCCAGGCCCTGCCCTTGCCCAGCTCAGGATGAGATGCTAGGTGAAGCTGGCCTTGTGTGGCACTGTTGGCTTCAGTGAGGCTAGCATGGGGCTATGCAGACTGCTTTATGACAGCAGCCTCCTCATGTCTGGGGCATGTGAGCATCCTTGTGGTGTGTCCCCATGTGCACACATGCATATGTGCTCACTTGTGAGAAGGAGGTGGGGGCATTGCTGCCAGGAGGTAGATCATGGGGAGAGTAGGAAACCCTTTTTTTACCAACCCTTGGAATCCAGGCCTGTTCAATAAATGATGGCATTGCTGGATCTGGGGATGTGTCTGTAGATGAATTTTGAGGTCTCTTTTGGCTTTAAATTTCTAAGAATCCCAAGCAATTACCTTGCAGGAGAATATGAGAAAAGCCATTTTTTAGTCCATCCATTCATGAATCTGTTCATTCAACCACCCGTCCATTCACTGATTTATGTATCCATCTACCCACTCACACATTCACCCATTCACTCATCCATTCACCCAACCATTCATCTATCCATCCATTCACTCATCCATTCACTTGCCCATTGATCCATCCATCCATCCATCCATCCATCCATCCATCCACCCATCTGCCCATCTGCCCATCCATCCAACCACCCACACATCCATCTGACCATCCATCCACATATCAAATCATCCATCCATATTTCTATCCATCCACTCATCCATCTGCCAATTTATGCATCCATCTACCCACTCACACGTCCACCCATTCACCCATCTGTCCTTCCAAACATTCATCTATCCATCCATCCATGCATTCATTCACTTGTCCGTGCATCCATCCATCCATCCATCCATCCATCCATCCATCCACCCACCCACCTATCAACTCATCCATCCATCCATTCATCCATCTGTCCATCCATCCATCCATCCACCCATCTGCTCATATATCCAACCACCCATTTACCCATCTACCCATCAATCCATCCATCCATCCATCCACCTATCAACTCATCCATCCATCCATTCATCCATCTGTCCATCCATCCATCCATCCATCCATCCACCCCCCCACGCACCCATCCACCCACCCAACTGATGCTTATTGAACCACATATAGTGCTGAAACATGCTCTGGTTGCTGAGTGTAGGGGACATAGGTGAGTCAGACATGGTCTTTCCCCTGAATATAGTGTCATTCTTAAGAAAGGTCAGGGAGAAACAATTGCAACAGGACAGGATCCATGCTTTGGTTGAGGCCAGTGAAATGGGAACCCCAGGGAGCTTTTAACGCAGCCTGAAATACAGCCAGGAGGAATTCACAGAGGAGAAGACCAAGGGAGACTGAGCTCTGCTCAGCCTCTAGGGACAGGCACAGTGTGTGGCAGCCAGCCCCAAGTCCATGTGGGACTCCTCCTGGCGTTCACACCCTTGTGTGGTGTCTTCCCACCTCGAGCCCAGGTTGTTCTGTGTGATGGAGGCAGTGCAGCAGAGGTGGCAGCGTGCGTCTAGGACAAAAAGGCATTGAACTTCTGCTCAGTGAACCCCTCTCTGCTCATGAATCTCTCTCTCTGGGGGAAGCCAGCTCCTATGACATGAGGACACTGAAGAGGCACGTTGGCGAGGAACTGCGGACTCCTACCACCAGCCAGCACCCACTTACCAGCCGTGTGAGGGAGCTGCCTTGGAAGTAGATCCTCTGACCTGGGCAAACCTTCAGAGGACTACCTCTCCAGCTGACGTCTGCTTGTACCTTCACCAGAGACCCTCAGCCCGCACTGCCCAGGCCAGCCTTGTAAGCCACAGAAACTGTGAGGGTAGCAAATGCCTATTGTTTAACCCTCCATGTTTGGGGTCATTTGTTATGCAGCAATGAATAATGATACATGGGGCATGGAGAGAAACCTGGTGATGCCCTGGTGCAGGCTCCATGGGGGTGAGGGGGAAGGGATGTATTTGGGGAGGGCCTTCCATGCTGAGTTGGGGACCTCGCCCCTCAGCATCTGGGCCCAGGGGAGCCATGGCAAGCTGATGCATGATCAGCTTTTGTTTAATGAAGGCCACTCTGTACAGGGGGTCATTTACTTCAGGAAGCTGTCCTTGACCACCTTGTCCTATGAAGGCCGGGCCGCCTGCCTTTACAGGATCCCTAGGCCCTGAACTTGCCCTGTACTGCACCTGCTATTAGTCAGTATTGTGATGGTCCAGCTGACTCTATGTCTACGCTATTGAACTACGTGGTTGGGGTGAAGGGTGAGTGTGGACAGGGCAATAAACATGTCTGTCTGGCTCGCTGTGTAACCCCAGCACCACATACAGGACCTGCTGTGTAGTGCGGACCTTGTTACGGTTTGGCCCTGTGTCCCCACTCAACTCTCATCTGGAATTATAATCCCCAAAATTCCCACATGTCAAGAGAGGGACCAGGTGGGAGGTGATTGGGTCATGGAGACGATTTCTCCCATGCTGTTCTTGTGACAGTGAGATCTGATGGTTTTATAAGGCAGTTTTCCCGGCTCTTGCTAGCTCTCTCTTTCCAGCTTCCATGTGAGGAAGGTCTTTGCTTCCCCTTCCCCTTCCGCCGTCATCGTACGTTTCCTGAGGCCTCCCCAGCCGTGCAGAACTATGAGTCAGTTAAACTGCTCTTCCTCGGAAATTACCTAGTCTCAGGAAGTTCTTCATAGTAGTGTGAAAACAGACAAATGCAGACTTTTTACATGTTACCGAGTGGACACTGGGTGAGTTACAATCTGGTGCAGCCCTCTGGGTTGTAGGGTAAGAGTTTCTGGAATCCTCATTTTAGAGCTGTGACCCAGGAGGGAGGAACTCCTACAAGGGGCAACGGCAGCCTCCAGCCCTGCAGGATGTGGCCGGTCGTGGATCTCAGCCCCAAGCCCTGGCCTTTCCTCCTCTGCACCACTCCATGACAAGGAGTCTGGCTGCCATGGGCAGTTTTCATCAGAGCCAGAGTTCGGGTGGAAGGAGTTTCCAGAAGGCATCCCCTCCTCACTCAATAGATATTCACTCAGGGTCCACTCTCCTGAAGAAACAAAGGCGTGAGTGATAGGAAGAGGGATTCAGCAGGACAAGGGGATGCGGCTGTCTGTGGGTGTGGGGGCTGTTTGAGTTAGGGTGTCAGGGCATGCTGCACTGACAAGGGGCATGTGAACAGAGCCCTGAGAAATGGCTGACAGTGAGCCCTGTGGGGACCTGGGAAGGTGTGTTTCTGGCTCCAGCAGCCACAGTATGTGCAAAGGCCCTGAGGCAGGAGTTTGCTTGGTGTGTTGGAGGGGCAGCAAGAGGGTCAGTGTGGCTGGAGCAAAGTGACAGTAACCAGGAGTTGGTGAGGTCAGCAGGTGGGGGGCAGGCAGGCCAGGGAGGGCCTCGTGATGTGGCTGGAGAAGGTGATGTACTTGTTCCCGTCGTGGGAGCTTATCTCAGCAATTCCTGCGCTCCCAGCTCGCTGACATTGGCCCATGGCAGCTCCAGAGTGGAGGCTCTGCAACATCTGACAGCTTGGGGGCTAAAATTAGGTCCCCAAGCTGAGTTAGGGCCAGCAGAATGCCACTTCGTATGCTTGGCACTGCGTGGCGAGGGGGAAACGTTGCAGCTGCCACTTGTCCACGATGTACCTCAGCAACTTCCAGAGTAAAATTCAGCGTCCTCAGCCTGGAGTTGGAGGCTCTTGTGAGCCTGGTCCCACCTTGTGTTTGCAGCCCGAGCCCACCTTGCAGGCTGAGCTTCCCCTCCCCTCCAAGCTGTGAGCTGAGGTCCAGGCTGCTGCCTCCCTCTTCTGAAAATGCTCTTCCTGGATGCCTTGCCTGTTCTCCCGCTTGGAGTCTGAGCTCAAGGGCACCTCCTCTGAGATGCAGGTCGTGGCTTTTGCTCCTGCCCCACAGCCCTGCCGCACACTAGTTTCTTCTGGCTTGGATTGTTTCTGATGAGATGTCTTCATCATTCTTATCTTTGTCCCTCTGTAAGTGATGTGTAGTTTTTTGCCACTTTATTGAGGTATAATTTATATCCTGCAAAGTTCATGCTTTTGAGTGTATACTTCTGTGAGTTCTGACAAACACAAGCAGCTGTTTAACTACCTACACAGTCAGGGTACAGAATGTTTCCGTCGCCCCTGAAAGTGCCCCATTCCCACCCTCAACTTCTAGAAACTACACTGTATTTAGTCTGTTTGGGCTGCCATAAAGGACACCATAACTAGGGGGTTTAAACAACAGACATTTATTTTTGCTCATTCTGGAGGCTAAAAGTCCAAGATCATGTGTGATTAGGGTTGGGTTCTTTCTTTCTTTTCTGAGACGGAGTCTTGCTCTGTCACCCGGGCTGCAGTGCAGTGGTGAGATCTTGACTCACTCCAACATCTGCCTCCTGGGTTCAAGTGATTCTCCTGCCTCAGCCTCCCAAGCAGTTGGGATTACAGGTGCCTGTCATCATTCCTAGCTATTTATAAAAAAAAGTATTTTTAGTAGAAATGGGTTTTTGCTATGTTGGCCAGGCTAGTCTCCAACTCCTGACCTCTGAGCCTGTCAGGATTGGTTTCTTGTGAGGCCTCTCTTCCTGGCTTGGAGATGGCTGTCTTTCTGCTGTGTCTGTACATGGTGGGAAGAGAGAGAGAAAGAGAGAAAGAGAGAAAGAGAGAGAGGGAGAGAGGGAGAGAGAGAGAGAGAAGTGCTTGTATCTCTTCTTCTTGTAAGGACACTTATCCTACCAGATTAGGGCTCCACAACCCTTATGACCTCATTTAACCTTTAACCTTAATTACCTTCCTAAAGACCTTGTCTCCAAATGAAGATGCTCCCTAACTTACAATGGGGCTGTGTCCCAATAAGCCCACCACGAATTGAAAATGCCTTTAATACTGGCAACACAGCAGACAGTCCTTAATTTATGATGGTCTGACTCATGACTTTTTGGCTTTCCAGTAGAGTGAACGTGATGCACATTCAGTGGAAACTATAGCCCCATTGTATGAATAAGTTGTAAGGAGTGCCTCGATTTAAAATGAGTTTATGTCTGGGTAAACCCATCGTAAAGGTAGACATCATAAGTCAGGGACTGTCTGTGGCGTCACATCAGGAGTTAGGGCTTCAACGTATGAATTTTATGGGAGGCACAGTTCAGTCTGCATCACCACTGTTCTACTCTTTGTCCTTATAATTTTGCATTTTCCAGAACATCATATAAGTGGAATTAGGTCGTATGTAGCCTTTTCAGTCTGGATTTTTCCACTGGGCATAATGTGTAACAGTATTTCAATGACTATACCAATATTTCATGTGTTTTTATTGCTGAATGGTATTCCACTGTATGGATGTACCACAGTTTATGCATTGATGATTTGGGTTGTTTCCAGGTTGGCAATTTTTAATACAGCCACAAAAAATATTCACATACAGGTTTCTATGTGAATATAAATATTCATTTCTTTTGGGCAAATAACTGGGGTGGGATTTTGGGTTCAATGGTAAGTGTACACATTTATAGGAAGCTATCAAACTGTTTTCCAAAGTGGTTGAGCCATTTTGCATTCCCGCGAGCAACGCGTGAGACTGCCAGTTACTCCAAATCTTCCAAATTCTTGGAATAGTGAGGTTCCTCTTTACTAAATAAATAATATTTTTTGGTCATTTAAAAGAGTTCTATAGTGATACCTCGGTGTTTTATTTTTATTTTTGAGACAAAGTTGCTCCATTGCCCAGGCTGGAGTGCAGTGGTATGATCTCGGCTCACTGCAACCTCCACCTCCTGGGTGCAAGCAGTTTTCCTGCCTCAGCCTCCTGAGCAGCTGGGATTACAGGCGTGCCCAGCTAATTTTTGTATTCTTCCTAGAGATGGGGGTTTCATCATATTCGTCAGGCTGGTCTCGAACTCCTAAGTGATCCACCTGTCTCAGTCTCCCAAAGTGTTAGGATTACAGGTGTGAGCCACTGTGCCCGGCCTCACTGTGGTTTTAATTTGCTTTTCTTAATGGCTGTTGATGTTGAATGTCTTTTCATGTGCTTATTTGCCAGTCACTTATCTTCTTTAGTGAAATGTTTGGCTCATTTGTGATTGTGTGACTTATTTTCTTATTATTGAGTTTTGAAAGTTCTTTAAATATTTTTGAATACAAGCATTTTTTTAATCAGATATTTGATTTATAAATATTTTCTCCCAGAACGTAGCTTGTCTTTTCATTTTTGAGACTTTCAATGAACAAAACTTTTTAGTTTAGATGAAGTCCAATGTATCCATTTTCTTCTTCAGTGAATTAAAAGCTTTAGTTCCTGTGTTTTCATTTAGAATTTTTATAGCTTCAGATTTTCCATTTAGGTCTATGATTCATTTTGAGCTTCTTACATAAATGTGTTTATAATTTACATTAAATTAAAAACATTATTTCTTCTAATGCTTTTACTATCCTTCCCCTCCTTTCTGTCTAGGACTCCATAAACATGGTCGCTAGACCACTCAATGTTGTCCCACAGGGCACTGAGTCTCCATTCATATTGTTAACTTTCTTCTCTGTGTCTCAATATTGCTATGCCTTGAGGTCTCTAATATTTTTTTTCTGTGGTATTTAATGTACTATTAAGTCTATGCATTGAATTTTTTATTTTGGATATTGTATTTTCATTTCTATAGTTCCATTTATAAAAAAAGTTTCATTTAAAAATATATACCTTTCATTTCTGTTTTCATTATGTTCAAGATTATTTTTCAATTATTGACCATATTTAAATAGCCATTCAAAGTCATTGTCTCTTAATGCCATTATCGCTATTATATCTGAGTCTATTTCTTTTGACTGTTCTTTCTCCTGGTTATTGGTCAAATTTTGCTGCTTGTTGGCATATCTAGTAATTTTTGCTCAGCCACTAGACATTATTTATGCCCCATTGTTCTGGGTTTCAATGTTGTTGTCTTCCTTTACAGCAGGGGCCCCCAACCCTGGCCACAGACTGTACTGGATGTTTCTAGCATCTGTGGCCTGTTAGAAACTGGACTGCACAGCAGGAGGTGAGCTGCAGGCAAGTGAGCATTACCGCCTGAGCTATCAGTGGCAGCATTGCATTCTCATAGGAGTGTGAACCGTAGTGTGAATCTGTGCATGCAAGGGCTCTAGATTGTATGCTCCGTATGAGAATCTAATGCCTGATGATCTGAGGTTGAACAGTTTCATCCCAAAACCATCCCTGACCCAACCCCAGTCCATGAAAAAATTGTCTTCCACGAAACCAGTCCCTGGTCCCAATAAGGCTGGGGACCACTGCTTTATGGTGTATTGAAATTTGTTTTGGCAGGGAGCAAAATTATTTGTATATTGGTTTAACCCTTCTAAAGCTCATTTAAAGCTTTTGTAGGCCAGTTCTAGAGTAGGCCATATTGTACAGCTAGTTTATATTTATGCCCCAGGTACTCAGCACCGTTTCTCTGCTCTGGCTGGTAGGAACCTGCGCGCATGTGTCTCAGCCCTGGGTGAGCTGTTTGTTGTTCAGCTTGCTGCTCTCCAGCCGTTCTGCTTTGCCCAGCCTCGTGCAGTTTACCCACACATACGTGTGGATTAATCTTCATGCAAAGACTCAGGGTGATCCTGAGAATAGTTCTGGAATTCCTTTTCTGTGTAGTTCCTTCCTCTTTAGTACTGTGCCTCACAAATTGTAGCGTTCCTGACCTTTTTAAGTTCCTATATGTGGCCTCTCAACTCAGAGAGACTACTGAACACCCCTCCCTTGCACTGTGGTCTGGGGATTGCCCTCAGGCAGAAAGTCAAGGGGACTGTAGGACTCAACTTTGTTTTCCTGTTCCCCAGGGATCACAACCACAGGCTGTTTTATTTCATTCATTTTGTCCATTTTTCTAGATTTCTTTCTTTCTTTCTTTCTCTCATTCTTTCTTTCTTTCTCTCTTTCTCTCTCTTTCTTTCTTTCC